GATTTATAAAGTAGGGAAGTAATTTTATTTTATAAAATTTATAAAAGAGAGTTAAAACCAATCCCTACCGCCCACCATGAAAGCTAGAACGCCCAATAGTGGGTGGTAGGGACCAGTTTCAAAACTCTAGAACATATTTGTTTGTAAAATAGTTATTAGTTTCTCATTAGAAGACTGCTATGTAAATGGTAAGCGAAATGATAAAAAAGAACTTGAGGCATCTTTTCCCAGGATCCGATGTACATTCAGAAGAAGATAACACTAAGGAGCCTACCACAATAGAGATTTAAGTTTAAGATCTCATATCATCTTGTAGATTATGTTGCTTATAATTCCTAGAATGAATCTAGTGACAATTCGGAGGGGTGTGTGTGAGACAATGCTGCCTAAGATGGTTTTCTTGTAAGCCAGAAAGCGGAAATCACAGAGCAAACTGTGTTTGTTGTACATTGCCAATTTTTACTTGGATGTTCATACTATACTAACCAATGGTTGGCTGCTGCCGGTTTGGACCGGTTCACTCAAACCGGTAGTTCTGAGCACCGGCTGGCCCTGCCCCGATGCTATCTGGTCCTAGATATTTCATTTTCCGGCTCGCTCTCCCTGCCCCACAACCCAGCTGATTTGTGCGTCTCACCTGTTCTACTAACCATGGCTGACCTACCAGGTGTGCAAGAAACCTTCCCCATCGGAAAAGCCTTGTTTTAGGTGTTGCGCACACAAAGCGTGTGTGTGAAGCGTGCATGCATGAAACGTGCGTGTGCAAAGTGCGGGCGTAAAGCGTGCATGCACTCTCATTTTTGGTGAACCGATTGTTAAAGTATGTGCGGCCCATCTCTGATGCTAACTCATTCCCATATAGAACCAGCTCTCAGATACTTGCAATCAAATTGAAAAAGATCTTGGAAGCTACAAGACCCAATTAGAAAGAGGAAAAGCCAACTATAAAAAAATGCAGTCTGATCTCCAGAAAGAGCTACAGTATTACATGCAAGAAAATGCAAAGCTGACATCACTGGTGGAAGTTAACAATTCAAAAGGTATTCCTTTGTCCTTGATGAAACCCTAAATGCTGAGAAAAAGTTTTATAACTTAAAGTCAGTAGAATGCTGGTAGGAATACTAGGAGTTGTAAATTCCGGTACATGTGGGTTGGGAAAGGCTGCATTAAATTAAATCTGCAGTGTTTCAGGAAGGCTTTTGAGAAGTCAGAATGGGAAGGTGTCTTATTTTTTTCTATCATGTTGCTTTATTTATTTATTTATTTTTTAGGTTTTGCTTATTTTTTTATGTGGCTTGGTTTGCTTTTATTTCTTGTGCACAGTTTGAGCCTCCTCTCCCTTTCCAAAAGCTTAACAAATATACTTTAGGTTTTCGTTCACCGCATAGGCATTTGATGAGACGTTTAATTTAGTTGCAGGATCTCTTTTAACAAAACTATTGCAGCTACAATGAAAAAAATATACTCAGTTATTTTTCCTCTTAAAATGGGTTGCCTGGAATCCAATGTGTAGTTGCCTTTCCTATATTTAAGAAAAAGGATATAAATGCTGCTCGGGAGTTTCAAAGTTAAAGATTGTTCTGAAAATCAGAAGTCATATCAGTAGACTTCTGTAGATATGGAGAAAGGAAACTGCATAACTAAGAAAAAGAACAAATAAACCAAACTGTAGGAGCAGCAAAGTTTTATTTTTTAGGGATGTAAGGGAGAGTGGCCTTTGTTGTTATGTCACTGTTTTTCTGTTTCCGTCAGCAATGTCATTTGCAAAACTCAGGATATAAATTACTCTGCATTTTAACAAGAAATTTCACCCTACCTAAAATGTATAAAAATAAGAACTGGGGCTGTAGCTCAAAGATATACAGTATTCTTTATGTATAGTCCAAGATTTAATCTCCAGTATTTATAGGTAAGACAGCAAAAGTTCATGAAAACCAAAGAACCGTTGATGATATGGACTCTCCATGATGTAGCTTCCTATGTATAGAGCAATCCAGTCAACATAGCACAGTTGTCATTCATTTCTGTGATACGTTTTGCCCTCTCTTTTCCAGACTTGCTACCATATATAGAGTCGGAAAGGAAAATGGAGGATTTAAAAAATCAGCTTAATAAAGCCTTGGACGAGAACATGGATTTAAAGGAAAAGTTGGCTGGTTTATCAGAAGTAAACTGTGGATCAGATCTTGAAATCTTACATAAAGAAGTAAATAATATTGCATGAATCACTGGAAATTATTCAATGCCATTTTATATAGCAATACTTACATTTTCAAGTGAAATGTTTTCTCTTTTCAGAATAAATTTTATTTTCTTCACTGTTTCCTAAAACAGACTTCTAGCACTAGTGATCTATTTCAGCATTGTAAACAATTTTATTGACCTTTAGCAGAAAGTCAATGATTAGTTGCAAGAGCTTTACACAGTGACTTTGGAATATGCTACTAGCAAAATAAATAGTTGTTTCTTGGAGTAGCTTCCAAATCAGTTACCCAATCCTGAAAAAAGAGGCAGCTACTTTATTGATTCAAAAGCATTTGAAAATTGAGTTAGAAATCACTTTAACTTCCGGTTTCCTTCATATTTAGAGAATGGAATTTTGGGTATTAGATTGTTAAAATTGGGGAATACAGAATTTGTTAGAAGAAAGGGTTGATTGGCAAAGTGTGATAAGCAGTAATAGACTTCAGCTAGGAAAATAGAGCAAGTCCCTACAAGATTTCTTTTTAAGACTTAAAGCAAGATTACGATAATCTTTTGGTTAGTTTTGGAATAATGACAGACATCAAATTGATTCCCGTTAGAGAAGCAAACCTAGAATCCCAAACAATTATCTTCCATTATTATCTAGTTAATTTTTAAAACATAACGAAAACACTATAAGAGCTGTTCTCCCGTATTTTGTTCATAATATATGCTTTTGGTTTTATTAACAGATTGTTGAAAAAAACGACACAATTGCTTTGCTGATGTCAGAAAAAGAAATGTTGTGGTCTCAAGTTGCTGAAAAAGAGAGAAAGCTTCATGAAGCAACTCAAGCGTTGGCATCCAAAATGGATTTAGCCAATGATGAAGTGATAAGAGGACACACCGCAGCTTTTGAAGAACTCAGACAGCCATGTGATAAATTGGAGCAGAAATCCTTGGATGTGGCTGAAGAAGACAAATCCATGAAAACACAAATAGATTCTTGTTCCAATGGAAGTCTCAATACTTCCATCAGTTATAATACCCAAGAGGTAAGTGCCCATTTTATAATATGATAAGTCAGTAGATACATTGACACATGCGCGGCGGAGCTGAGCTGGGGCGACAGCTTGCGTGCCCTCTGTGGCATGCGTGTCATAGGTTAGCCATCACAGACATAGACGATTCTTTTAGACAAGGCATGTTATGTGAATATAGGAACTAGAGCATGTTTGGTTAAATCTAGATTTAGGACTTGGGAGCATTGTATGAATCTGTACATTGTATCCAATTTACAGGCCATATTAGACCCATTATACTGTGTGCATCAAATTGCATCTGGGAGCTCAGCCTACAGTGTTGGAGCCTAGGTGCCTCTTGGTTATTACTGTTGTTATTGCTTTGTTTAATTTTCCAATTTCACAGAGAAAGTGGAATGGAATTATCTGCTGTTGCTTTAAAGGAAATGATTTAGCAGGAAATTTCCTACGCCACTGTACTGAGAATTCATTAATCATGGATACAAAACAGACTGATGCATAAGTTGACCTGTGAAATACCTTCCTTGTGATCTCAGTATCTCTAAACCTAGTAATAACCCCATAAATATCCCCTGGCTCTGCTATGCATCTACTATTTTTTATACTAAAAGTCCAAGCAGAGATTATCGCTCTAGGGCACAGGTGTTAAACACACCGCATCATGTGACATATCGTGATGTTTTTTCGCAGAGCTGGAGTGGGCATGGCCTGCATGTGATGCATCTGGCCCACAGGCCACCAGTTTGACCCCCCTGCTCTAGGGTATATCCAAGGCTGCTAGTACTCCTGAATCTTTGTCTCCCCATAGTCTTGGCCATTATATTACACTGATGTTGTGGCCCAGCAGGATCTGGTTGAGCTGCTGATGGACTCGGATAGCGAGGAAGCATATGAGTCTCCCATGGAAGATGTGGAGGATCCTGGGCAGAGTTCAGACTCAGAGCAGGGACCAAAGAGGCTGGTTGGCCACCAGGAGGCGCCTGAGGCATGGAGCAGTGGGGAGGATCAAAGGCAGTTTCTCCCTGATGCTAGATTGAGACGGGCAGCAACTCCGTAGGCAGTCTCACAGAAGATGATTAAGCCCAGGTGGTTGTTGATTGGCCCCTCCCAAGAGAGATTATAGGTGAGGCGTTGGGAGAGGACATTTGCAGGAAACAACCGTTCGAATTAGTAGTGAATAAAATCTATCCGTGTATTCTAGCCGTGTCCATTTGGATTCTCTGGGTTGCTTTGTTTGGATTCTCTGGGTTGCAGCAGAGCTACTGTTTTGAACGTGAGTTGCCTGGGCCCTCAGCCAAAGGATTAGTTATCTCAATAATTGAGTAGTGGCAAACAGCCAGGCCTGCATTCTGGTTTATTCACAGGCCGAGGGGGGTCAGAACACACTGACTATCCATTCAAAGGGATCATTGTTTAAGAGGCTATTGTTACAATACACTTAGAATGTCTTTTTGGTAGCAGCATCAGTTTTACATATATTTACATATTTTCAAGTTGTTTGATGGTGAAAGGAGAATGTGGAGGAGGGGAAATGATTCTTAAGTATTTGCAAGGAATTCATTAAGATTATTGCAAAACAAAGTTAAAAGCGATTACAACATTTGATAACTTTTGATGCTGCATTTTCAATATATTAAATTGTGTTTCACTTATATGCTGCTACCATCCTGAAAAATCAAAGCAATCTACCAAAAAGGAAGAAGAATTAGAGGAAAAGGGCTTGGAG